CTACAACAAAAATATCTAGACGTCATTAAACAACGTCATTAAAATCTTTTTTGCCTGGTTACTGTATACGCTTGTAAAACAGGAACATATTGCAATGTATAAATAATTATAACGTATGCGTTTCGGCAGGATCACCAAAATGTTTGCAGGATCACCAATATTATAACATCGGTGATCCTGCAGGATCACCGATGTTAGAAAAGTATTTTCAACCCTGCTTGACGTAAGTTGTGTTTGACTGTTGTTTTGATATGTGTTGGCTATAGTCTGAGTCTCTGAATCCAGGCATGAATAATTTCATTTACTAATGACATTCCATTACGTTTTTTGTTCAGCAGTTAGTATTGAGGAGAGTACATTGTAATATTGTTAATATTGTAGCAAATACTTTTGACATGCTATTTCCATAAGATTTACTAGTTTGTCCTTGTTACGTGTCAGTCAGAAATTGAGGCCAGTGAAGAGTTTCTATAGCAGAATTATCGGGGATTTTTGGGTCTATCGATTTAAAATCTGGGAGTTCAACATGTAAAAGCAAAGATTATTTGACTCTGGAATCATGTTAAGCTTGCCTCATGTATTTGCATTAATTTCACTGCATGCATTTGCTCTAAGTTCACTTCTGAACTTGTGTGAATTTCATCGCTTTCACCTGCATTAATAATCCAACTCCGCTATATTTGCAATAATTTCTGTCGTGTCTGATATTGCTGAGGTCACATCAGGTAGTCCAACATTAAGACGGAGCAAGGTGCATTTGACTCTGAACTCTGCTTTAATTTTGACCTTCTGTATTTCATGAATCGCAGGTCCGCAGCTAGCAGCGATGGTAATCGACAGGGTCTCCAGTAACCTCACTTCGTCCACAACGATGTCGAGCATTGCCTCGTCTGCTACGAGCGCCGAGGACAGCGACAACTCGATTTTGAACTCTTCGTCTAAAACCTCGGATGCATTCGGGAATTGCTTCAAGCGTCTTCCGATGAGGATCCAGGTAGCGATTCTTCCTGCATGTTATTTGGTGCTTGCTCACACCTATTCGCTCTTGGCGGTGGGGATAAGGGAGACCGTTAAAGTGCAAAGCCTATAGAATCATGTGTAATTATTAGTATTGCATGGGTATCAATATGGGTATACAACACGCATGCACGTGACCTTGTGTCGGTGAAGGATAACTTTGGACTTGGTTCGTACTTGCGATTTAGTTTTATTTACTTATTGACATACATGAATACACGAATGAATTATGCAATGAATTTGTTTGCAAAAATGTAACACTTTGATGAGACATAATTTATATACTTTGTAGAAGATTGCTTTATTTTTTTAATTGCATGGTTTGACAGTGGGTGGATCCGGTATATTTGTGTCCCACCATCTGCTGTGTTGATAATTTTACTGTTATAAATATTAAATGATTTAGTCAAGATTACCGTGTCATTCATACTTAGTTAAGGAATTGATGACGGATTAAAATATTATAATTGTGTCATTACAAACCTGACCATTTCTGGCATATTCTTTTTCCATACAGTAAAAACCCGCGTATAAGAACATAGATTTTTCCAAGTTAGCCTCAACATGTTCTTATATAAATGGTGCTTACTGAAAAATTAGGCTCAAAAGGTTCTTAAATAGGTTCTTAATTGTTTCTACTTTTAATATGTACTAGCTGAGTCACTGTGATGCATGTGTTACCAGTACAGTAGTGTTATGTGTAAGGTGTTATATGGAGAGTTTAGTTGTTGCACATGTTTTTTTTTATGGTTGAGATAATATTATATGATATATATAATATAATATTATATAATATTATATTATTAATAGATATGATTGTTATTGTTGAGCATTGGCATTGGCATTGGCATTGGCATTGTTATTGCATCGATATTGTTGAGCTCGTCTTTTTTTATTTTTACCTGTGTTTCTTTTTAAGTCTTCATCTGCATGGAAAATTAAGAACCTACTTTAAAATCTTAGCCTAAAACAGGTTCTTATGTAAAGGGGTCTAAATGGGAAATTTTAGCCTAACATGTTCTTAAAATCTATGTTCTTATACGCGGGTTTTTACTGTATATCAAACCTTCCTGAATTGCCAAATTTTTAAGGATCATTCTACGAATTTGCACTGCACTGTATGATGAGCTTCAGTTAGTTAGTGAATAGTATGCATCAATCATACATATATATATATATATGTATGCACATGTATCATTGTATATATATATATATATATATATATGTGTATGAACATACATATGATCCTGGTAGTAGCAGTCCTATCAGATGAACACTGTACTGCATTAGAAGTTGACCAGGATATATCTAGATAATTAACAATCAGTGCATGCTTCTGCTAATAATGAGCACATATAAACCTTTAGTGATATGCTGGTCTAAGTAGATATTATTAGCCACCAACTTGCTGTATGAATTTATCATGTACGTAGTTTCATGCTCATTTCATCACTTATAAGTTATATATCCTGTACCTATAGGAAAGGATGGATTCTGGTGATAAGTTCTTTTCTTTGGAGTTCTTTCCTCCGAAGACGTCTAGTGGAGCCGCCAATCTGCTTGGCCGGTGAGTATGTATAAAATCATTGGCAGTAATATAATAATATATTTTAAAAATGCAAAAAAGAATCTGATTTTGTTGGATATCCCTTGCGTAGCGAAAATTTATCTTTGTACTTTTTTACAATGTGATTACCAGGTTCGTGTAAATAAGCCGTGTTAGTTTTAGATATACATATATATATAGGTATTAGATATAGATATAGATATTAGATATAGCGTCACACGGGCACTTGGTTGTTTGCTCATGCATAATTTATAACGTTGTATATATGCTGTTGTCATGATGCATGAGCAATTTTTGTGTATAAATATCAAGAGGTGAATTGTGTAACCCTGATAAAAAACAAAAGTGGTAACAACATAACCATGTCATTGAGAGTTGTGGCTCTAAGGATTAAAATGCCACCTAAGGTGGAACTTAGTTCCAAAGATCGCTTGTTCCAAAATGCCAATAGAGATGAATGAATGGATGTATGGATGTATAGATGTATGTTTGAATGGGTAAATAAATTATAGTCCTATGCATAAATCACTTATAATATAACTATATGTAAATAATCACGCCTGTAGTAGGACTGGTAGATTCTCATGGTAGATCACCACACTGCGGGTAAAATGTTGAAACGTTTGCCGACTCACAAACGATAATGTAAATTATGCTTTGAACATATTGCATCGAAAGGTTGAGAGAACGTTGAAAATTTGATCAACTCATCTACTTTTCAACTAAAAGTTGATAGTGTAAACTCTGCTAGACAATAAACCAGAAATAAGGTGCTTCAAGGTTTACTATTCAGAACACAAGTTTACAAGTACCAAAGCTCTCTGTCCAATTTTATACAAATACTCTAGCAAAAACTAACACCAGATCACTATAATTCAACACAACTACACTCGACCAGAAAGCGAGGTGTCTCACAAATTTTTACTCTACTGTAATTCACACGTACCTCATCCTTAAATACGAGCTCCCAAAACGGCCACCCTATCCCCTTTACGTGATGAGGATAGTTTTTTTCACACCTCCACTAAATTTGGTAACAAACTTTGGTAACATGCAACGTTACCTCAGCCATTGGCAATTTTTCCAGTGGACGTACTTTCGTATTTCATTGGAGAATTTATTGAGGCCTGCAACATGGTGGCGATAAATTTGCGGCTGACCCTGCATGATCAAACAGCCTATTTGTTGCCACTCATCCACATAACGGCCTGTCTGGCTCAGCCAACTTCCATCGTTTTTAGCTCAGCTGACGAAGTCAGGTGCAGCTTGTAGAATCGCATGACTGTCCGTCCGTCCGTCCGTGCGTGCGTCTGTGCGTCCATCCGTCCGTCCGTCAACAGTTGGGCACAAATCTTAACTGCTCGACGTACGGTCTTGATATTCGGGAACCGTGAAAGGGACTCGGGAATCGGGATGTCGAATTTGGGGGTCAAGGGTCAAAGATGTGTCAATGGAGGGGGAATATTTCCCCCTTAACTTAAGGTATAGGAGGAAATACGGAATTGCGGCACAAATCTCAACGGCTTGACCTACGCTCTTAATATTCGATGTATAGTGTGATTGCGCAAAATTGGAGATCACAGGTCAAAGGACAGTGGGGGAAAGGTCAGATATCAGACATTTTCTGAGGACATGGTCTAACTGACCGAGTGCAAAACCTTTTTGTTTTAGCGCTGACGTACCGTTTTTATCACTTTATTGAAAGGACCATGTAATCTACTTTCCGCTGACGTGCGAAGAGTAAGTGTCTGATAACCTTTTGACCCTTAAAGGGTTAAAACATGGATTTGTTGACTGTTAACAAAGGACTAGAACTGCGCTTTTGCTATTAGCCCTCCCCTTCCCCCTCCACCACCTCCCCCACTCTCCCCCCACTACCACCACTATGTTCGCGCTCGACGCATATCCATGATAACATGTTAATATAGCGAAGTCATTAAAGTTACACAGCTGTATCTTTATTACTGATATAAATATATATATATATACCCCTATCATAGATTTTAGATCTGTATTAGTAGTATCCTAGATATATGCTCTGAGCGTGAACGCGGTGGCAGGAGGGCGCACTTGATTCGGTTGCCAGTAGGTTTATCAGAAGAATACCTGGCTACAGTACACGTCAGTTGAGCGCTGTTGCTCTGCGGCACTTGTTTACTAAACCATTCACCACTCGACTGAGAATAGATTCTGCACTTAATTCTATAATGGAATTACTGATATGCATAGCTTACGTATATATGTAAATTGTATGTTTCCGATAACTTTCTGTGCCTTTTGGGCTGCATCCAGGAGATAATCGATTCTCAGTGCTGCCTCATTGTATGGAGTATACTGTGACAACATTTAAGGTTTATTTTATGGCCGTTACGGCCGATACATTGTAGAGCATTTTCCATTTGTCCCTCCCTACTATATTTCCCACATTTAGTGGCACAGGCTGGCCTTAAACGCAGTACAATTTACCTGAATTTCCCCCCACAGAAGCATCGATGTGACCAACTCTTCAAGAGTGCCTTGTTGGAGGATGAAATGCATGCATGGCTCAAGGTGGCCCAATGCGTAGTATGTGCTGGGTTAGGAGTGGTAGCTAGCCTACTGTGTTACATATACGGTTCAAGATTTCAAGATTTTCAAGATTTTAAGATTTCAAGATTTCAAGATTTCAAGATTTTTATTTGTGCTAAACGAGGATAATCAAACAGTGGAACATGGCGCAGAGTGGCTCTCTCTGTAAGGTGTTTTATGTTGGGGGTGGTCAGCCATCATCTAGCGTGTAATCGGCTGTGGTAACATTGCAGGATGGAGCGCATGGCGCAGGGCGGCCCTCTGTTTGTTGACATCACCTGGCATTCTAAGGGCGACCCGGGCAGCAGCAAGGATACGAGCTCAACGACGATCGCTGCAGCCGCCTGCAACTACGTCGGCGTCGAAACGATGCTGCACATGGCCTGCTGCAACGCGACCGAGACGCAACTCGACAAGTGGCTGCGCAAGGCCAAGGACGTTGGGGTCAAGAATGTTCTGGCGCTCCGCGGAGGTAGGGGGTCACGGCTGTTGCATGTGTGTAGTTTTTAGCTCATCTGACATAGTCAGATGCAGCTTGTAGAATCGCATGATCGTGCGTCCGTGCGTGCGTCCGTCCGTCCGTCCGTTCGTCCGTCCGTCAACAGTTGGGTACAAATCTTAACCGCTCGACGTGCGGTCACGATATTCGGGACGTGGGGGGGTAATCCGAAAACGAGTTGGGATGTCGAAGCTGGGGTAAAAGGTCAAAGGTCAAGAGGTATAAAAGAAGGGGGAACATTCCTTCCTTAACTTGAGGTATAGGGAGGAAATGCAGAATTGCGGCACAAATCTAAATGGCTCGACCTAGGCTCGTGATAGTTGGTGTATAGCATCATGGTAGGAAAAGCCATCACTGTGCCGAAATTGGAGGTCACAGGTCAAAGGTCAATGGGGCACAGAGCAGATTTTTAGACATTTTCTGAGGACATGGTCTGATGGAGCGATTGAACTTTTTTGTTTCAGCGGTGACCTAAGCATTTTTATGGATTTATTGAAAGGACCATGAAATGTAATTTCTGCTGACATGCGAAGAGT